ATGTGCATAGGGATAGGATTCTTAGCAAGTCTCATTCCTCTATTTTATTTTCTCCTGGTTGTAGGTTTTTCATTATTTTTCAAAGTCTGTTCATGCTGGGGATTAGGGCTTCTAGAGTTCCAACCTTTTCTCTGATGGATTTTAGTCTTTAATTTTACTCCTAAGTCCTTGATCAACTTTGAGTTGGTTTTCATGTATTCTGAGAGGTGTGGATCTTGCTTGAGTTTTCTGCAGATGGTTTTCCAACATCATTTGTTAGAGGCTGTGATTTTCCCACTTAACTGATTTTTGTTTCCTTGTCAAAAATCAGCGGACCATAGGTGGTTGTTGTTGTTGTTATGTGCCATTGAGTCTTAGCTGAAAACAGGGAATACCAGAGGAATGTCTACCTATGTTTCATTAATTATGCAAAGGCGCTTGACTGTGTGAATCATAACAAACTATGGTTGACTCTGAAAAGAATGGGAATCCCAGAACACTTGATCGTGCTAATGTGAAATCTATACTTGGACCAAGAGGCAGTCGTCAGAACAGAACAAGAAAACACTACATGGTTCAAAATAGGGACGTCAGTCCTGGAGAGGGTGAAGCTGGAATACTCCTTGGAGGCAAGGATTCTGAAGCTTTGTCTGACATACTTGGACATGTTGCAAAGTGGGATCAATCCTTGGAAAAGGGAAGTCATGCTTGGAAGGGTGGAAGGACAGCGAAGGAGAGGAAGACCCTCGAGGAGATGGATTGATTCAGTCACTGGGGTAATGGGGATAGGTGTGTTGGAGACAGTAAGATTGGCAAGGGATAGAGCAGGGTTTAGGGCTGTTGTACATAGGGTTGCTATAAGTCACAGACGAGTCAATTCGATGGCACATAACAACATACAGTAAAATTATGGTTTAAAATGGAGCACAGTGAAATTTAAATATTAGTGTTGTTAATCAGGTTCCGCTTAAAGAGGGTGAAACCAGGCTGCTCCCTGGATACATGGATTCTGAAGCTCCATCTGGTATGCTTTGGGCGTGTTGCGATGAGGGACCAGCCTTTGGAGAAGGATGCTTGGGAGGGTGAAGGGACAGCACAAGAAAGGAAGATCCTCAATGAGATGGATTGATTCAGTGACTGAGGGTAATGGAGGAAGGTGTGTCAGAGATGATGAGGTTGGCTCAGGATAGAGCAGGATTTATGGCTGTTGTATGTAGGATCGCAATGAGTTACAAACAACTTGATGGCACATAAGAACACAACAACAACAAATGATAAAGTGAAAATAAATGAAATTGACTGAATCTTGAGGCTAGCCGACTTTGCTCTCGAATACTTAGGGTCAAAGTTGTTAAACCCACAGAGAAGAAATAGATACTCATTAAGCAGGCCAGCATTAGAGGATGTACCCTAACTATTGTGATATTAAAAATGCATACAGAGTTTACAACAACAACAAAACCCCAGCCTATGTACAAAGCATAACAGCTTGGTTGTGTTGAAATGCATATTCCATACAACTTTTATAATATAATAATAATATAAAAGAATAGTTGGGGAAAAAAAGAGAAATAAGAGGCGGTTGTGTTTAAGGGTCACAAGAGAAAAGAGATGGTCTTGGAAAGATATGGTTTAGCACTGCTGAAGAAAAGAATTTAAAATTTCCCTGGAAAGGCAGAGGTAATTAATAAGGGGAAGAGGTCCAGAGATGAGTGGAGAACCTCTGTCCCACTATGTATGACAGTGTCCTAGGAAGTGGCCATATCTCAAAAAGGCTGGCTAAATGGAACAACCAGGGAGACTGAACCTAGTGACAGTGCTGCTTTGACAAAGATTCTCATACCTCAAGTGTAAGCCTACAAAATGCAGAGACACCACTTGAACAAACCATGTGAACTCAAGCAAAGGGCATTTTAGTCGTGTTACTGATAATAGGTGACCTGAAAAGACTCTTCTTGGTTGTCATGTCTCAGTTCTCTGAATGACTGGATTGTGTGGAGAAAGACAGTCCCTGTCATAATGAAAATGGCTGGACTCTATGAAGAAGAATGTGGCATCAGGTTCAGGGGAAGACTTGTCGTCAACCACCTGCAAGTGACAAAACCTTGCTTGCTGAAAATGAAGAGAACTTGAAATGCATGCTGCAAAAGATCGAGGCCTGAAGCCATCAAGATGGATGAAATCTCAACATCAAGAAGACAAGAATCCTCACAGTAGACCAATAAACAGCATCATGGTAGATGGAGGAAGACTGAAATTATCAACAATGTCATCTTAGTTGGATCCACAATCAACACCTTTGGTTCTAGCAGTCAGGAGATCAGGAAACATTGCAGTGGGCAAGTCCAGTGTCAGTGACCTCTCCAAAATATTGACCAGAAATTATGTCAGTTTGAATACTAAGGTGCACCAGATTGAGGCCATAGTCTTTTTAATCACTTGAGAGCTGGACAATAAATAAAGACGACAGAAGACTTGATACCTTTGAATTATGGTATTGTGCTGAATATCCTATGGACTGTCAAAAGAACAAACAGATATGTCTTGGGAAAGGCGCAGCCAAAGTACTCCTTGAAGGCAACGATAATGAAACTTATTTCACATACTATGGGCATGTTGCTAGGAGAGGTTATTCCTTGGAAAGGAACATCATGCTTGGAAGGGTGGAGTGTCAGTGAAAGAGAGGAAGACCCTCAACATCATGGAATGATACAGTGACTGCAGCAATGGGCTCAAGTATGCCAGAGATTGCAAGGACAACAGGGATAGGACAGGGTTCAGATCTGTTATTTATAGGGTTGGTATGAGTCGTACTCAACTCAATGATACCTAACAACAACAACAGCTTAGTAGGAAAGGCAGTGGGGCTGGGAAAAAATATATTTAAAAACTAGAAAATGTAAATATTTTCTTGCATACTTGATTTGCAGATTCATATCTCAACATTCTCGCTTTTCATTTCTACGTAATAACAAGCGATGTGTAGTATGAGACTAAGGAGAAACTGCTTTTTATTAACACTCAAATGTTTTTCAGTTACATGATTTAGTAAATATAATCTAATCCCTGGGTCAACAGTGAGGTCCAGGAAGGAGGCTGTGTTTATAGGTGGTAGGCGGTTGTTAGGTGGGTCTCACAGGCCAATTCGGGGCATCTGAGAGCTGGGCAGTGACCAAGGATGAATGAAGAATCGATACCTTTGAGTTGTATTGGAGAAGAGTATGGAACATCCCAAGGACTGCCAGTAGAACAAATGATTATCTCTTGGAGAGGGTGCAAAGAGGGGATTCCTTAGAAGCAAGGAAGGTAAAAGTTCATCTCACATATTTTGCTCATGTTTTCTGGAGGGGCCAGTCCTTGAAAAACATCACGCTGGAAAAGGGTCAGAAAAAGACAGGAAGACTCTTAACAAGACAGATCGACCCAGTGACCATAACAACGGGTCCGGGGATATAAGATGATGAACATGACGCAGGACAGACGAAGCTCTGATCTGTTGTTCACAGGGTCGCTATGAGTCACTGTCGACTCAGGGTACCATCTAACCACCACCACCAGTCAGGCAGATCCCAAAGTAGTTTAACCCGCATGGGCATGGGAATACGGGAGCTTTCGAGAAGGTTAAATTGGAGACAGAAAAAAAGCGTATGGTACAGATACAAAAAATTTTCATGAGCACAGGGTTTATGTCTTTTAATCTTGTGGGCACGCACAGTCCCAGTGGGTTCTGATCCCAACCTCGATTCACATGTATTAACTGCATGATCCCAAAGGCATTTCAGTGTGCACCTCTGGGTAGCGTGCAAAGCGAGCACTGATGGATAGGGATACACATTAAGCATGTCGCTTCGCCCTTGCCCCTGCGTCTCGAAGCAGAGAGCTTCCTACCCGACCAGCTCCGTCTCCTAAAGTCTCAGCTTGGCTTCCCAGCGCCGGCCCTGCAGCCACACGAGCCGTTTCTTACCCGCAAGTACAAATCTGACACAGACAGCGGTTCCTCATCCTCTCAGCCTGCAGACAGTCTCCTTTACGCGAGCCTTCAGCCCACTTACACAGCGGCCTTGGTAGTCAAGGCAACGGTGGACTCCCGGGTGACGGACGCGACGCCCACTTCCGGCGGCGTCAGGAGCGCGCGGGTCAGAGGTCACGCGCCAGCCCGCCCCGCCCCTCGCTCCCCGGTATCCCGGCCCTGCAGAGACTTCCGCGTCCCCGACGCTCGTGGTGTGGCCGGTTCTTGCGGTCCGAGCTGCTGGCTTGACGGCCGGAGCGGGTGAGTGCAGGCCCGCACCGGGTGCTGGCGTCTTCCTCGGCCGCGGCTCCTGGACTTGTTGGGGGACCGGATGGGACCAGGGCTGGGGGAGCCCCAGGGCTGGGTGCAGGCTCTTGTCCAGTAGTCAGCTTTCAACCAGGCACCTGCGGGACGCTTCTCTCTGTGGACACTGGTCCTTCAAAAGAAAACGTATCCAGGAACGCGCGAGGATGACGGGGATAGAGTTGGGTTTTCCTGCTTGTTCATTCAGAAAGGAGGGAAAGACCGTGAGCGCACCTGCTTGTTTATTAAGCGCGTGATCCAAAACTTTATATGGGCTCTGTAGGTTAGTCATTAACCCGGTATTTCACCTCCAGTGGAAACGAGCGAAAAATGATAGCGTGAAGGACTTGGAGAAAGAGGGAAATGGATCAGTGTTGTTAGCATATTCTGTACCTTGCGACCCCAGCCTTTGGCCTGGAGAAGTTTACCCTAGGACTCCTCCAGGAGGCTCAATTACTGGTGTCCCCAGCACCACGCCCCTAGAAGCTGAGTGATTCATCCCAGCCAGCGATTCCGAATAGATGAGTAAACTGCAAGAATACAGTAGTAATACAGTATCGATGTAAGTGCTACAGCTGGGTGTGGGCAGAGGTGGGCCCATCCCTTTAATAAAGGTTCATTGAATTCTTTTCACCTTTGCACATTTAAACTGTTTCTTCATGCAGCGCCTTACCCAGTGATGCTTAATAACGTATTTGATTTTCAGGCACAGGGAAAGTCACCATGGTGCTCAGTAGTTTGGATAAGATGATTCAACTCCAGAAAAATACAGCAAACATCAGGAATATCTGTGTTTTGGCTCATGTTGACCATGGTAAGAATCCTTTTATGCCTGTGTATTGTCAGTTACAAGAAGGCTGGGGTCTTGGCATGACAGGGAGTGAAGCTGTGGTCATTTGACAGTGGTGCTTAACTGACTTAAGGAACAAGTCTTAACTCCTTTGAAAGTTGTATGATGTAAGAGAAGCACATGGTAAAGCATTTGAAAGGAACGTGACTAATGAGTGATTGGCATTGGGCTGCTTACCCAAAGTTTGCACGTGTCAGGTGTTGTTAGGATCCATCAGTTGCTCCTCTGGGAAAAGATGGACAGTCTCCCTCTCCATTAAGATTTACAGCTTCTGAAATCGAGGAAGAAAAACTGGAAGAGATTTGACATCAGTAAGTTGTGAGTTGAATTGGCTGTACAATACTATTATTTAAACCAGAACTTGAGTTTTTGTTAAAATGTGAAGAATTTTTGAAACAGCTTTGTAAAATTGGAAGTCTTACATGGTTTTGGATTTATGGCACCCTTGTCACCATTGGCTTTTCATAGTATCCCGTGCTAGAGCAAACTGTAACGCTGAACCTGGCTTCACTGTCCATAGGCTATAGGCCCTGAAGGGTTGCACGATGGAGAAAATGTAAAAAATTTTTTAAGTTATTTAGTCTCAATATCCACAGAACCTTTTTTGTGCAGTCCCCTTTAATTCACAGTTATTTATTGAATGTCTACTGAATTTAAGGTACTTTGCTAGGAATATGCTGGCAGAGTACCTTAAATTTATCAGTAGGGCATCAGCTTCGCCTGAGATGAGGTTTTTCAGTTGAAGTACTGTGTCCTTTTTAGCAGCCTGCTCTTGCCTTCAGAATTCTTTTTTGTTCCAGTAGCTATAGCAAAGTGATTGGAATGGATTTTGAAATAAAGTCTGTTTATTTTCCCTAAGGTGATTGAGTGGTAGGTGAAATGAAGAGACAGACTGGTCTGACAAAATCTTTTATGATTCTGCTAGGCACTAGAATTAAGTTTAAATTCTTTGAAGTTGAACAACCTGAATTCAGAACTCCATTTCAGGTTACTTTACCTTTTTTATGCTTTATTGACAAAACTAGATGGAAATTGTAGCTGCCTGATAGGATAGGATTGTAAGGAATACATGGATATTGACTAAGAAGCCCTTGGCAGGATAGTAAATCCTTAAGCATGAAGACAGTCATTAACATTTTTTTATGAGGTGATAAGGAGGCATTTGGGGGAAAAAAATAAAACAGATGATGTTTTCAAATAGTACATCGAGCGGTTAGTCTAGAGGAAGTGCTTAGGGGTGGCTTTTTGGGTTTTGAGTGAAAGTTTACAAATCATACTGATTATTTATTCAATCAATCATACATACTTTGTTTTATAATGTTAATTATAATTGAATAATTAATTAAAGATCTCTGGTGGTCTAGTGGTAAGGAGTTGCACTGCCTACCCAAAGACAGGCACTTTGAATCCACCAGATTCGTCAAAGAGAAAGGTGGGCAGTCTCCTCCCGTGGGATTTGCAGCCTCTGAAAACTCATCTTAGGGTCAGCTAAGAGTAGATTTTGCCTTGAAAGCACAGGGCAATATAGTTAATGAATTACAATGTGTAATTAAATTTAAAATTAATACTATCCTAGAAAAGCTGATTAATTCACCCAATCAGCAAATATTTATTGAGCATCTGTTTTATCTCAAACATTGTTTTAGACCGAGCAATATAGGTACAGGTACAGCAAAGTCTTTACTTTGTTGACACAATCTAGGGCATATATGTTTTCCATACTTAGAATAAGTTTTACTCCATTGGATACAAGGAAAGTGATGCTTTAAGATTGCAGGCAAACCCCAGTATTTATATGACAAGCAGGTAATATACTGAGAGCGCAGGAGGGGAAGGCCCTCTATGAGGTGGATTGATTCAGTGATTGGGGTAATCAGGATGGGTGTATCAGAGACGGTGCGATTGGCACAGGACAGAGCAGAGTTTAGGGCTGTTGTACATAGGGTCGCTATGAGTTGCAAGCAACTCGAAGGCACGTAACAATAACAACATTATTAATTTCAATGAAAATTTACAGAGACTTTGGATTCCCATTCATTTATTGTTGCACTTTTCTCCCCTCCCAACCCTCTCCCCCCCCAGTACACTCCCCTCTTGGAAAAGTAAAAGAAAAATTCTTTCATTGTTTTACAATCCCTCTCCCCAGGTCCATTCCACTATACAGCCTTCGCTCTGGACTCCCGTCATGACAAAAATACCTAATCACATATCCTTTTTAAAGAGTTTTCTCCCTCATTTGTTTTAATACAGTATACATTATTAAACCCATCTTTCTCAGTCTCCCCGCAACCCCAAGGTCAGTCCTGTTTTACAACAGTGGCACTATGCAATATTTGTCCTTTTGTGACTGAGATTCTTCACTCAACATCATGTCCTCCAGGGTCACCCATTTGAATAATATTGCATGAGTTCCTTGTTTTTCAGTGCAGCATAGTATTCCATTATGTGAGTATACCAGAGCTTCTCTATCCATTTGTTTGTTGATGGGCACTTTCGTTGTTTCCAACTCCTTGCTATTGTGAACAAAGCCACTATAAACATCGGTGTTCATGTAGTATACTGTTAAAGGTAATTATTTTTCCTAGTTAAATGGTCTCTGGTTTGAACAAAAACATATGGATCTTATGTTTTGCTGAGGTGCTTAAGGTTAAACAGGATTTATTTTTCCTTGAAGAAAAAGACAAACCCTCTTTTTATTATTCTAACTCAGCTGCAGTAATTATTCTGTATACCCAGTTATTCTTTAAATGAGGAAAGTCACGTGTTCATTCTACTTGAAGTTCTGTAGAACTTAGTTGTAATCTAGTTAATAACAATAACTGTGTATACTTGTGCATACAGAGAGTCAAATTTGTAGATTCCTGAGTTGTTTGAACCCTAAGCTGCTTTGATAACAGCAGTATAGTTGATACCTTCTACAGACTGCATTGAATTCAGTGGGAAATACATGCAAATGTTCTTGTTTAAGTGTATTTATAAGAGCCCTTTCTTTTAGCCAAGGCCATTCATGGGAAGTAGAGCAGAAGAACAGGTTCAGTTGTCTCTTGCTGTTTTATCCAGTAAGCTTTTCACTATAGAAATTAATTGATGGACTCTTGCCATTCTGAGCTACAAAGTCTTACTAGTTTAATGGCATAGCTTTTGTATTGATAGTAAATGACTGATATAATAATTGACATTCTTGAAAAGAGAGATCCTTTGGCATAAATTACAATAACAATAAAAATTGCCCAATGTTCTGTATTTTCATTTGAGTAGTGTTTATGTTATCAAATTGTACACTTTAAACTGCATTTTGCTCTATCTATGTTAACAACACACTTGCTTGATGACTTCATTTGAGGTTGATAGAATTCACAACACTGTAAAGTACTGTATTTTTCTAAGTGATGTTTCCTGTAAAAGTGTGGATTAACTCTTAAAAATGCTCTTTTTGTCATGGCTCTCTTCAGCATCAGTGAAGAAGAAATATTTGCTTAACTAATTTCTATGGTCAGGTATTAAATCTGTAGTTATATCTTCCTCCCCTTTAAAAAAAGAAACAGACTTAAATCAATATTGTTATTTTAATGACAGGAAAAACTACCTTGGCTGACTGTCTTATATCAAGCAATGGAATCATCTCCAGTCGCCTGGCGGGCAAGGTATGTTGTTATACTTAAAAAAATACTTTTTAGCTTTTTAGTAAATGTTTTCAAGCTATCTGCAAGGTGATGAACCATTTACTACAGTCTCAGGAGATTTAAAAATCATAGTCCTTTTGAGAAGATGAAATAAATGTTAAAGAAAGCATCTGTTTGAATTTTTTATTAAATTGTATTAATATTTTGTAAGTGTCAATATAAAATTTTACAAGTCCAATATTAGTAGTCTGGCATATTTCTGGAAGATTTCACTGAGAAGGAGATTCTGCACAAGTAGATTATTTGGATGGTATGAAGGGAAGGCAGAGAAACTCTTAGGTCAGGGACATAGCACGGATGAAGATTTACTGTGTTGGGCTTCATGTGTGTGGAGCATTTGCTTGGAGACTAAGGGAAGAGAACATGTGCTGTAGAGAATGGCACCCAGCAACCATGATACTAACTCCGACAAGGCTTTTGAAGTGAGAGAGAGGATCATGATGAAAATAGCAGTATTTCAGTACATTTGCACACAAAAGGTGACTGTTGTTGTTGTTAGATGCAATCAAGTTGGGTAGACCCCATAAGGACTCTGTGATGAACAGTTCTGAATCCTGTCCTATCCTTTGGGAGCCTCACTCAAGCCATTGCTACTCCATCTAAAGTCACATTGAAGCCAGGAAAAATAGGAATTGAAAAGGCTTTTTTGTGTTTGGCCAGAAGGTCATTGATAGTTTTGACTAGTCATTGATAAGGGATTTGGTTTTGCCAGAACTATGGGAATTGAAACTCTTCTGAAAATTTGATTTTATGTAGCTGAATAAGTATAGTAATTTTGAATCAGTGAATTCTTTTCAAGATTTTTGAATGAACAAAAGGTATTAAATACCAAAAGTTTAGACTTTCTTAAAAGTTGACAATGGAGAGGAATAAGTCAAGGAGGAGAAGAGACCTGAGAGGGAGGAAGTGAGTAGTAATAAGGTGCTTAAGGCTGAGCAGTTGGAAGGAGGGTATATGGTTTAGGGAAGCCTCTGTCAGTATTGATACTCTTGTGGTCTTGAACTAAATCGATCTTTATAAAAGCCATAGATTAAATTTTAATATGAATATTTTTGTCCCTTTTTTTTTGAAACATGTATTTAAAATCTACTGAAAGGATTGAAAGGCCCTCAAGTTGCACTATGGCTTAGACATTTAGCTAATAATCAGAAGATCAGAAGTTGGTATCCACAACCTCTCCTGAGGGAACAATAAGGTGATCTGCGTGTGTAAAGATGTCCAGGCTTGGGAACCTTGTGGCTAGCTCTCCTCTGTCCTGCAGGGTCACTCTGAATTGAATTGACTGCGTGGCTGTAATTTTCTTTAAAATGAAGACATTTCAGACCTCCAGAGAACCTTCTATTTTAACCTCTGCTCAGATGTTGTCAAGCAGCTGATGAGTAAAAAAGAATGACTGTGTTCTAGACAGATAGGAGTAATTCCCCTCAATAATTTCATGGCTGAAATTTGCATGAGCAGGATTCTGGGTAGAGTGTACAGCATTTGAACACGGTCACGAGTTGCTAGTAGTAATGTTTTCAGTTTGTCTGTATTCTCCTTTTTGTGCCCAACTCCCCTTTTCTACTTCCCTCAGCAAAACAAACGAACACCCAAAGCAGAAGGTTCTTGGGTTTAAAACAAAAATCCCAACCAACTAATTTCAATGTTATATTTTAATTCATTTGCAAGTAAGGATGCTTATGTTGCATTTTTCCAGTTAAGATACATGGACAGCAGAGAAGATGAACAGATCCGAGGAATCACTATGAAATCCAGTGCCATTTCTCTCCATTACACAAAAGGTAAATAAATTTGTGGCTTAAAGAAAAGTGCTTTTGCTCTGTCTGTGTTCTTTTTATTTCTAAATTAATTGCATGCTTTCGTTTCTTTGCGTTATATTGCACCTATTTCACTCTGGCTTCTTCCATTTGTTTTGATGCAAGCTGTCCTGGCTTGGAAGCAGTTAGGAACCTCTGACTGGCTTGAGGGCAGAAGGACTGGCAGTACACTTGCCTCCCTCCCCTCATATCTACCCGGCAGTTATGTGGATATTTTCATAGGAAAGGCTTCAGCCTTAGTCCTTTGTGTGCTCAGCCCCAGGGTTCTGTTCCTTGACCTTAGTATTGCTCTTTCCTATGGTCTGTGCATTGGATTTGCAGACTTGCTTATGTATCTGTGAGTACCCGTGGTCAGCCCCAGATTGCTAGGCCCAGATCAGGGATGCCATTTTAATAGGAACATGACTTAGAATTTGGCAGAAATAGTCATACAGATGTGTGAGACCTATGGCTGTGAATTGATGTTCACTAAAGTTTGTGTTAGTAGGAAAAGAAACAACTTGCCAGTAACCTGAAAGTCTGTTAGTAGGAAAATAGTCAAGTAAATGATGCATCTATGTAGGGAAAAGCTATGCACTTGTATAAAAAATTGATGTACATGTATTTGTGTAGGAAACAAATCATACATTCAAAGAAAAGACAAGTAGCAATCTTTTGCAAGAAGTGATAGTGTTTTGATAATAAAAATACAGTGTGCATGGATATAAAGGAGTCTGAGGCACCTCTGTTACTGCTTCAGGCTGAAAAATGGAGTAACTTGCACTTTGCAATGCACATAGTTTTGTATTGTTTGAAAGTTTTACATGAAATGTATATTTTTATAGTTAGACAAGTGATCAAGATGTATTTTATTTCCCTAATGGACTGACCTGTGGTTCATCTTTCACTCTTGCCATGTCTCTGGAGCTGCATGAGGGAGACATGCAGTGGGGATGTGACCTCTTAAAGAGCAGTCTTAGAAACACTTTTTGTACTAAACCAGTTTTGAAGTTGTTAGCCATACTAACTCCCAAAGTTTGAAGTAGTAGTGCTGTTGGGGTTTGTTTAAGAAACTTTCATGGACTTCATCCTGTGACCAATCTGTTTCTTAAGTGTCATGATTTTGTAGACTTCAGAGATTTATAGTCTTCCTTTTTTTCATAATTACTTTATGTAGGAGCTCTGGTGGCCTAGTGGTAAGGAATTGTGCTGCTAACCCAAAGATACGAGGTTTGATTCCACCAGCTGCTCCTTGGGAGATAGATGAACTCTCCCCTTTTATGGGCTGTCCTGCCTCTGCTGGAAGGAAGACGTGCTGGAAGATTAGCTGTGAGTCTGTCTGTTCCAGCTCTGTGGCACCTAACAGCAGCATGTTAAGGGGTTTTGAGATTTTTTTTCCCCCCCATTCATACACATTTGTTTTTATAATACACATTATGTTTAATTGATATCATTAACAAAATGCTACCATTAAGCCTTTTCTAAAAAAATACCTAGTTTGGCAGAAAGTGTAGAGTCTCATTAGTCTTTTTCAGACAAACATCTGTAGGCAGTGATACTCATTAATTGATCCAGTTAATTTACTGTAATATCTAAGCAAATCCATTAAGAGGTGGTTTTGTTTTGCATGTGTGCTTTCACTCTTGTCAGTTTTCGTTTCTATTATTTGGACTTGGCTCCTGGTCTTCTCCCTTGTCTTCATCACTTTAATCAAGATTAAATTGAAATACCACAAACATCACTCATTCTAATTCACTTGTTTCTAATATAGGTATTTTTGTTGGAGAACTAATACAGGACCTAGGGAATTAGGTGATCTAACTATTGAGACCTTAATACTTCTTTGATTACAGAGAAGCTAACAGCTAGTGTGACAACTTACTGAAAGAATGTTTTTATTGATACTGGTAACAAAATTCAGCGAATTAAAACACACACAATAGGAGCTTCATTGCAGTGATGCTTACTAGAATTTAGAGGCAGATGTTGATTTCATATTCACCATAGTCCTGGAGACCACATCTGTAAATGTTTATGGGTCCCCCATAATTCCACGCTTCTTGATATTCTGGTGTTACCTCCTCATAAAGCTTTCCTGTGTCTCATAGTGCATACTCTCTCTTGGAATGTCTCCTTCACATCACCCTAATCCCTCATTCTTCACATCACCCTGACCCCTCATTCCTATGCTTGTGTATGCCAGTGTATTCTTTGAACTCATTTCTCTTCCTTACTGTTTCACTTTTGTGGATTTCTGAGCATACAATCTCAAGAGCAGGAGTATGCTACCCGTGGGTTGGACAGTCATCTCATAGTCCAACCAGTGGTGATTAGAGGGGAGTTATAAAGTGAGAAACATTTCTTAGTGTGATATGACTACCTTGTTAGGTAGTGTTGAGACTACAGTGACTCTCAATGACCCTGTGAATAACAGGCCTGAACCTAGCCCTATCCTATGCCATCCTTATCTCTGATACATTCAAGCCTCTTGTTAAAGTCAGTGTGTCAGTCCCTCTTGTTGAAGGTCTTCCTTATCAAACATGTCATTGTTGTT